GGAAAGAGCTGCATGGGCTGCCACTCCTTTGGCATTAAGGACAGGCTTACTTTTATAGTAGTAGCCACAGTGAATCATTTCATCTTCCTGTGTCTTTTTCCAGGGATTCCAGCCTCTCACAGTCTCTCAAATTTATCTACTTCTCCTCTCACATACCTCCGTTGCCTTCAGTGGAATCGCTGTCACTTTATACCAGCTGTAGTCTCATTTGGTTCCAGAGGTACCTTAACTGGGACTGTAAACTGATGTTCTGCTGAGCTGATACATACGCAGCTTTACCTGTTAAGGCAAACTTAATAGGTTAGTAAGACACAACTAGCAGGAAGTTACTAGTGCAATCAGGGATGCATTCCAGTTTCATGATTGCTTAATCTGGGTTGGGCCAGGCCAGGGCCAGGGAGTCACTGTGCTGACTTTTGTGTTGCATGTGCTCAGTGTTTCCCAGTCTTCACACTAGAGGGCCAGGAATCAAGAACAGCATCAGCTTTGTCCTGCAGAAAAGCTGCCAGAGAAGCAAAACAAAAAATCCAGACTTCAAGAAGCTGCATACATGGGTCTGAAACCAGAATTAAGGGAAATGGCACAGGCGGAGAGTTAAATTCTGCCCAGAGTGACAGGTTACATTCAAAGGAAGGACTTGGTAAAAACAGACCTGTGGTATCCCCAGTGCTTTGCCTATTCACTTTAAACAGTACCATGAGCCTCTTAAAGGCAAAATGTTCTATGTTGTGATTCCCTTTGCAATAAAATACAAGCTTCTTCCTGTAACAGACTCCATCTTTGAGTGACAGAAAAGTATTAACCTGTACAGGAAGCCAGCTGTCGACCATTTTGTAAGTGGCAATGACCTTAAAAAAAAAAAAAAGGCATAGTAAGTGAGGCTATGCTAAGAACTTTAAAGGCACAGTAATCTTTAATTATGGCATGCTGGAGCACTTAAACCTGGCCAGAGAAAAGAAAGTGCGAGACAAAAAGAGGAAACAATAGATTACTCACAATACAAAAACAATGCAAAGAACAGTGTCATCCAACATGAAACTAAAAGGGACATTTTGAAAGCACGCTGCTTATTGCCCAGCTCTGACATAGAAGAGCCAATGTTTGGTCACAAATGGCAGAGAGCAAGGCAGAAAGGATACAGTACTTTGCAAACTGCCTGACAGCACCAAATGGTAGATGATATATATATGGTAAAATTGCTTCATTATGTGATGTACCAGGCATACAGAATCCTTGCTGGGTGGTGCACAGCAGGGTCAGAGAGCAGTCGTGTCTGACCCAGTAGAATACCTGATACATAGAGCAGCTGTTTCAGTGAGCCCCAAACCTTTTTAGCTGCATTAACAATTTCAAAGCATTCCCAAAGTGCCCACTACTACTGGTCGGCTACTTAGACCTAGGTAGATTCCATTTCAAATGTGAATGTGGTCCCAGAGCTTGAATTCATCAAAGAACTGAGGATCGCTCA